TTGAGAGATTTTTTTCCCCAGGAAACTATTCTTTCATGGGCAAGAAAACCTACACTATTAATGGTTTTTCTAGGTTTATGCTAACTAGTAAATTTGAAAATCTTCTGATCTAGTGAGTTTAGAATTGATGGAGAAAACATTGCTTTCTCACTGATTGTTAGCACATTGGAACATAGTGGCAGTGCCATTTTTCATGGAATTCAGGAGTGAGTGGAAAATTTAATTGCACATTTTGTTCATGGGTCTTAATAAGCAAAGCACTCTTTATATTCTAAATCTGGGGTAGCAATGTCCACTAGTAGTATATGTGTAGCACACTTGCCATCAGCTTCCTCAATTGGTATTCTGGAAAAAAATTAAACTCTAAACAGCTAGAGGGCTTATTTTTATGAAATGAATGAGCTTCTCATTTATGCATCTGGAATAGTATTAACTATATATCATCCTTGGGGGAACTGAAAACATCCACACACACCATTTTTATATAAATATGCTGTCCTTTTCTGGTTTTCAGTTGCAGTTTTGACATTATGGAATTCATTACTTCACCCAACAATCATTCACTGTTGCATGCTAGCCTCTGTGTTAGGCTCTAAAAACATAGTGGTGAGCAAAAATGGAGATGACTTCTGCTCTTATGGAGATTATGATCTGCTGGGAGAGACAGTAAACCAAGAGAGTGCTCTGAAGGAAAAGAATGGGCTTCTCTGGAACTGGCAAAGGAATACAACCTGTACTGGAATTATTGGCCAAATGTGGTGACAAGGATGCAGAGGCCGGTGGACTGAAAAACATTGGGTTTTGGATATGTTTTTGACAAAAAACAGTTTTCAACTGTTCTCATCTAGTAACTGGCAGTCACTGTTCTCTTACTAACTGATAACAGCATTAGGTCCAATCCACATCACACTGTTTATACTGGATAAGCTGAGAAAATATTTGTGAAATAATGGTGCTAATTGTGCCTTTTATTTCATACACTATCTCAGTGTGAGCTTTTTGCCGAGAGGGACAATATTATTTTCCTCTTTGAATTCCCCACAGTGCCTAGCAAAGTGTATAAGTACCTCATAATTATTTATTAAGAAAAAAAAATTTTATAATTGATTTTAACTCTTTTCAGCAATTCTTTAAGTTACATATAGATTTACATCCTTTCTTCATTTATTTAAAACCAAGGACAGAGTATAGAAGATTTGAATTTAGAATGATTGACTACATATTTGGAAAAAGAAGGCAGCTTTTTTTCCCCCACTAAGAACTTTAAATCTGTAGCTAAATTAGATTTTTAGCACAGCTCTCAGTTTTAAATTGATTCATAAAATAGTGTAGAGAATGCACAGAGCACTTAGAATCAGAAGACATGGGTTCAAATATTGGGTCTGCTCATTTATTTTATGACAGGATGAATCACTTTACTTCACTGAATCTTCTTTACCTATAAACAGGATAACCAGACTAGAAATCTCTACGGTCTTTTTCAACTCTGAAGTCTTTCAAACGTGTTCGATGAATAATGCATTTTCATGGGTTTGGTCTGGACCAAAACCAGTAACCAATTTTCAATATTCCTGATTTTGCCACTGATCTGGGATAAATAACTTAACATGTATGGCTGTTATAGAGGATACAAATTCTAAGTGAAATTCCTGTGAAATTTTGCTTTTTAGTCATGATGATCCATGGCAAATTTTTAAAATATCATCAAACGACACCGCTTTTAGATACTAGGTTTGGTATCATTTGCTATGTGCAGAAGAAAATAAAATAAATTTAATGTTAGTATACATAAAAAATAACAGATAGGGCAATATTTTATCCAAATTTCCTCAGTCATAGTCAGTATTCAGTCAATATTTATTCAATAAATGAATAAATAAATTAAGCCAATAATGGATGATTTAAAATTTTTTCCTGGTAATGATTTGGTATTATAACTAAGAATTACATAAAGCAACTTATCTGGGGTAGGTATAATTATTAGGTACTAAAATGTTGATGGACACTTAGTTGATTAACTTTTTATTTCTAAAAGAGCAATAATTTTTATCTCTTGGTTCAACTGCCACTGATTTTCTATATCTCTGAGGCTTATAAAATCTTTGAAATGAGCTATTGTCCTACTTTGAATTCCTACATAAAAAGCACATAGGCATATTCCTTAAGATTCAGTTGGCTGTGCAGTGAATATCCAAGTATATAATTATCAGAATAATAACCATATTGGTTGGGAATATATTCTTCTATGAGGTGTATATATAGAAGAAAATCATCTTGGTTACTATTTATTAAGTGCTCATTCTGTCAGGCACTGTGCTAAGGGCTTTAGATGTATGTGCTCTTTTTTTTTCAGAATAAATACTATGAAGTATACGAACTAAAATCTCCGTTTTAAAGATGACGATGTAAGGCTTTAGGAGATAAAATGATTTGTTTTTGTTGGGAGTTTAGGGGTGGGGATGTGGATTTACTCCTACTGCACTAGTGCTTTGGAAGTTCATTCTCCATTAGAAATGCCTCCAGTTCCTTCCCCCTCACCCATACTGCAGCCTGAGTTTGGGGGGAGAGTAGGGACAGGGGTATTAATAAAAATAATATCAGGTATACTATCTATTATCTATCATCATCTATCTAATTTCTGTCTACATATGGAGACAGATAACTTTCAAATTTACAATCCACATGACATATATTTTGAGTGCTTTTTTTCCCCCTACATACAAACCCAAAATTAATGATATTCTGACCAGTCTTGTGTTTGTTTTTTTAAAGGCATAAGGTCTTTTCAAGGGATAAATGGTGATGCAAAAATAAATACAATTAAATAAAAAAAAAGTGCATTAGGTCTTTTAAATGCTCACAACAATCATATGAGTACTTTTTATTATTATCATCTTCCATTATCATCTTCCCATGATGAGATGGTTAGACTGAAGCATAGAAATGTTCAGTAATTTTCCAAAAGTCACACAGCTAATTTGTAGAAAACCTGAGATTTAAATCTCATAGCAGGACCCGTGACCTTAACCACTATTTTATATCCCTTCTTTCTAGGCATAATGATATAGAAACACTGGTGTTGTATTCAGCCATTCATTGTAACTAATATCACTGGCCAGTAAAGGAAGTTGTGACTTTTTCCTCTGTGTTAAGCAGCTTGCATGAAAATGAAATCTACAACACTGACATACTCAGAAGTAGGCTTTAAGTAACTGAGCTGACCAGGCAACATAAGAGGGTCAGGCTATTCAATAAGATGCTGTGACAGCAACCTTGACTACCCGTGGGGTTGGGGGGTTGGAAGATGGACATTTTTTAACCTTGTGTTAGGCACTCTCAACCTTGTGTTAATGCATTCTTGGAATCCTGGGGGTGGAGGGGACCTGGCCCACCCAGCTGTATTGGGTACTTCATTTGCATGGGAATAAGGGTTTATCTTTTGGCTTCAAGGTCTCTTTCTGTAAAAAGCAAGAAACAAAGCTAGGGTGTATGTTTGCAGTAATGCCATCTCAAGGAAATAATTTACTTAAATCCATTTGTGACCTGGGGGTACCAATCTGCAAATAAATGGGACTGTGTCCAGAGATTGAGAGCATTTGCTACCTTGCAAAGCTCTCCCCCACCCCAAGCAGCGTGTACTTGTAGTTTTATTGGGTTGCACTGATCCCAGCAGGCCGAGAGATAGCAACTACCTAAATAGATCTTCATAGATCCCTAGGCCAGAGAGCCACGTATGTGGCTATGAATGAAGATTCCCTTTCCCTTTCAGTAAATGCTGTCTTGAATGTGAGGTTTGTGTCAACTTATTTTATTGTAGTTTTGGAGAACTGGCCCAGTTGGTTGCTGGGTTTGATCCTGCACCTGTGGACCCCTTGTCAGTTTCAGGAGACATCTACCTTCTGATGGAAGGTGAGAAAGGAGAGAGAGGCAGTTTCTAATGAACAGGTAGAGGCTAAGACAATACCAAAGCTCTGTCCATACTTAAGTGTATTACACTTAATAGTCACTGCTCTTCTTAAAATTGTAGGATGGCAGTATAATAGTTAACACTACTGAGAAAAATCATAAATCTGGAAAAGACATCCAGAAAGTCTGTTTTCCTGGTATCCTACATAATTCTTAAAGTGTGAAAAAATACCTGGAATATAATGATGTTTAACTTGTGAGTTCATGATTTTAGCAAATGAGTTTCCTAAAATATATCTTTGTTGGCAACTTCTCTATAAACGGAAGAGCTGTTTCATTTCTCTGTATTCTTTTGAGGTCATGACACATAGGAGAAGCATGTTCAGGTTTTGCTTTTTGAGCCTTTTGATGTTCCATGCAAATGAACCCTTGGTATAGATCCCTGCCTCCCCGCAACACACGTAAACATTTAGTCCTTTTAATCCTTCCTGTAGAGATAGGAATACTTTTCTGCCCTTGGTCAAATTTGTTGTACCAGAGAACTAATAGCCTAGCTTAGCTGTACTAACTGTTGGCTGTACTTTTATCAAGACCAGAGAGACACTCATTTCCTGGGAATGGTGGGACATTTGACCCTACTTTTTAGAAGCTGCCTTATACAATAGTGTGAGAGACAAAGTCCATTAAAAGCCTATAAAGAGGTAAGTTTGATGTTAAAGTGATTCAAACTCAATTCTGGAATTTAGGAGTCTATATTCTTGAGACATCCAAAAGAATGGAGAAATCACGACTCATAGATCAACTCTTAATAGTTTAAGAGTTAAAGGCTGCCTTGTGCCTCAAAGAAATGTTATTTGTGATCCTGATTACTTTTTATAAAACTATCATCAAGTAAGGTTTAATTTCAATAATATAAGGATGATATTATATCAAGAAATTGATTAAAATGAACCCTGAATACTTTAACAGTGATTAAAAGCAATTATCATTGTATATAAATATTTTAAAGAGAGAAATGTTTCATTTGCATAATAAAATACCATATTCAAATTAAAAGTTGAAAATTACTCTATACCATACAGAAAAATGCTTACCTGAAAATTTAAATGAAGGAGAATCTATATGTAAAGACCCAGTTTCACCATTTAACTTCTGATGTAAAATGGTTTCAATCCTATCCCGATATTTTGCTGCTTTATTTTTATGGCAGAATATGAACTTCAGCACAGCATGTATTACCACTTTCCCTTTGGCTCTGCTGCAGGACAGAAGCAGAAAAATAAATTATGCTTTTATTACTCAGCCTCTATCATTCTGAACTTTGTTAAGCAGAGCTCCTAGCAGCTCTTTCAGTTTCTCCCAAGGGCATGGACATGACACTTTCTGGACATGGTGAACAGTAAAGACAGTGTGATTGAGACTCAGGGGATCTGAGGTTGTGTTCTAGATTCACCATTTGCCACTTCCTTGACTATAGCAAGCTGTTGGCATTCTCTGTACCTAAATGTCTTCATCTCTATAATGGGGATGGTAATATTTACTGAGTTATGTTAACACAATGTAAGATATGTATATGGAGGTATTTTGAAACTTTTAGAGTACTGTGCAGAAATTATTTATCAACATAAATGTATCTATGTATTATAAATCCAGTATGGATTCTGCATAAAGGGACAATAACAAAAAACAAAATGAAATGTAACAGGTAAGATGAGAGAATCACTTTTTATCTTTTCTCTCTTTTTTGTGGAGACAGAATTTTCAAGAGTAGATTAATTCTCTCTCTGCTGGAAAACATGAATGAGCAAAAAAACTAGACTGGATTTATTACATTTGTAATCCTGACTTGAAGATGCAAATAACTAAAATAAAGTAAAAACAAATAAATAAACAAACCAGAAATTTAAAAAGGTGTAACTACCACTGACTTGATGGACTGTCTCTTCTGCTCTAGTCTCTGTTTCTGTACCACCTCACCATTCTAGGTATTTCTCTGCATCTGTGCATTTGAAAATTCACATCTGTCCCAAAGCTTTATAAGACACAAGAAAGATCCTGAAAACATCTACTTCTAAACCTTCATAACACTCATGAAAAACATACCATGGCCAAGCCCCAAGATTATAAATTATTATAAAGACTTATTATATTAATATTTTTTTCCAGGATAATTCTAAATTAAAGGATTAGTTTATTTTGACTTCCGGTCAAGATGACGGTGTAGGTAAACACGGTATCGCGTCCTCCCACAACCACATCAAAGTTACAATTAAACTACAGAACAACCATCATTCAAAACCGTCTGAAATCAAGCTGAATGGAAGTCCTACAACTACGGAATTAAAGAAGCAGCCACATCAAGACTGGTAGGAGGGGCGGAGGCGGAGGGGCTGGTCCCAAACCCACATGTGGCAGATAAAAATCAGGATACCTCGGCTGGGAAAGTCCTCTCTCAGGACTGAGGGGGTCCCCGTCCCACACCACGCACCCTGTTCAGGGTTCCAGTGCCCAGAAGAGAAGACCCCATAACCTCTGGCTGGAAAACCAGCGGGAACTGAGGCTCAGGGAGGCTGAGGCGACTGGAGCCCCTGGAAGCTCCTCTTAAAGGGCTCGCGCACGGACTTATCGGACTCACTCCCTCTAAGCTTGGAGGAGAGGCAGCTCGAGGGGCACCAGAGACATACAGGGAAGAACTGAGCTGTTTGGCACTGGAGCGAGGGCTGGAGAGGGGGTTTTCTCCAGGAAAAACGTGCTGTCAGAGGCCTCTGTTCCTTTGGTGAGCCCTTCCTTGGGGCAGCAGACAGCCACCATATCTGGGACTCCAGCATCCTGATTCACACTGGTTTCCCTACCCTGGTGATTCCCTGAGGCCCCGCCCCACCCAACTTTCAGGCCCACCCAAGCTGTTGCCAGTTGCTTAACCATAGGATTAGCCTGTCTTGGATCCTGCTTCAGGTTTTCCTAAATTCTTCCAAACAAGCAGCATCTGGTCTCAGCTAGCCCCATATCTCTCATTAAGTAATACACAGAAACAAACACAGAGAGGCAGCCAAAATGAGGAGACAAAGAATAAGGTCCCAGATGAAAGAACAGAACAAAATCCCAGGAAAAGAATGAAGTGAAATGGAGATAAGCAACCTAACAGATGCTGAGTTCAAAACACTGCTTATAAGGATGCTCAATGAACTTGGTGAGAACCTCAGCGAACTTAGTGAGGGCCTCAAGAGTATAAGAAAGGACCAGTCATAAATGAAGGATGCACAGTCAGAAATGAAGGAGGCACTAACTGAAATAAAGAATAATTTATACAGATTCAATAGTAGAGTAGGTAAAGCCAAGAAGCAAATCATTAATCTGGAATATAAGGAAGCAAAAAACACCCAATCAGAACAGCAAAAAGAAAAAAATATCCTAAAAAATGAGGATAGTGTAAGGAGCCTCTGCGACAACTTCAAGCATGCCAACATTCCCATCTTGGGGGTGCCAGAAGGAGAAGAGGGAGAACAAGAAATTGAAAATCTATTTGAAACAATAATGGCAGAAAAATTTCCTAACTTGGTGAAGGAAACAGACATACAAGTCCAGGAAGCACAGAGAGTCCCAAACAAGATGAACCTCTAGAGGCCCACACCAAGACACATTATTATCAAAATGCAAAAAGTTCAAGACAAAGAGAGAATCTTAAAAGCAGGAAGAGAAAAGCAGTGAGTTACCTACAAGGGAGTTCCCATAAGACTGTCAGATGATTTCTCAAAAGAGACTTTGCAGGCCAGAAGGGAGTGGCAAGAAATATTCAGAGTGATGAAAAGCAAGAACCTACAACCAAGATTACTCTATCCTGCAAAGCTGTCATTTAGAATTGATGGCCATATAAAGAGTTTCCCAGACAAAAAAAAGTTAAAGGAATTCATCCCCACCAAACAAGTATTATATGAAATGTTGAAGGGTCTTTTTGAAGAAAAAGATAAAATATATGAACAAACAAAATGGCAATGAATACATATCTATTGACAATTGAATCTACAAACAAAATGAACAGGCAGAACAGAAACATTTTTATAGATACAGAGAACAATTTGTTGGTTGCCAGATGGGAGGGGGGTTGGGGGAATGGATGAAAAAGGTGAAGGGATTAAGAAGTACAGATTCATTGCTAGACTGACAAACCTTAAAGGGAAAGGGGTTGGGAGGTGGGAAGAAATATACCAAGGAACTTACATGCATAACCAATGGACACAGACAATACTGTGGGAAAAGGCGTGTGGGTGGGTGTGGGTGTGGGGCGTCAATAGGGGAAAAATGAGGAACATCTGTAATACATTCAACAAAAAAGATACCAAACAGCCCTGGCCGGTTTGGCTCAGCGGTTAGAGCGTCCGCCTGCGGTCCAGAGAGACCCGGGTTCGGTTCCCGCTAGGGGCATGTGCCTCAGTTGCAGTTTGTCCCTGGCCCTGGTTGGCCGAGCGGGTGGCGGCCACTCGATGTGTCCCTTTCGCGTCGATGTTTCTCTCTCTCTCTCTTCCTCTCTCTCCCTCCCACTCTATCTGAACAAAAAAAAAAGGAAAAGTGTCCTCTGGTGAGGACAAAAAAAAAAAGATACCAAACAAACAAAAGAATTATTTTATTTTTATATCACCCCTTATTTATGTTTTAGGGAATGTGTACATATGTTCTTTCTTTGAGTGCTATATATGAATTATTTTATTTTACTTATATAGTAATTACATGCAAATTTATTAAGTAATCTCACCGTGTCTGCTTTTATGCAGGTGCAATGCTAATTTTTTTTTCTTGTCTGATCAGTAGGGACAAACCCTTTATTTCTTATGCAATAGACAAGGACATATTGTAGTACTTTGTTTATTTTAAAGATTATTGTCAAACCATGGATGTCACTTTGACTTTATCTTGTGTCAAATAACAATCCAAAATTAAACTAAATATAAATGTATGGATTCTTAATCTGACATCATCAGGAAAAAATAATCCTCTTTTCTACTGAAACAATGAAGTAAAAGTTATTTTAATTTTACCTTCTCTTGACTTATAGTTTTATATGATAAATGTTTGTTTTCCTTTATATTCCCGAATTTTCAATTCATTCATTCATTCATTCATTCATTCATTCAACAAACGTGTTTTAATTAGTCCAGGCAATATGCCAGACATAGTTCTAGGTACCAGAGCTATATTAGCTCATATAAGACCACAAGGTCCCTGCTATCATGCTAGTAGGAGAGACACATAAATAAGAAAACAAAGAAATAACATAATCTTCATGGTAAATTCAATGAAGAAAATAGAGCAATGACTTGAAGGGTAGGGGTAGGAACATTATATCAATTCTCTTTGAATCCAGAGCCTCATGACAAGGAGTGAGTCATGCTAAGATCTGAAGGAGGAATGTTCCAAAAAGAAGGAACATCAAGTGTAAAAACCTTGACCAAAATAGCCATAACATTCCCCTTGGTTTTATTAAATGTTTGACAGGCTTCTTCCTGACTCTAGGCCCCTGATTGCCACCCTTCCCTTTTTTTGATCAGTTACTTTAGAAAACTTGTAAATGTAAATTCTTTCTCTGCCCCTTTGAATTATAAGTCTTTTAGTAGGCTCTTGCAGTTTAACCCCAGAAATGTCTTTCTCAAGGACCTGAAAGCCATCTCTTTGCAAAGTAACTATCAAAGGCAGTAGCCCCTCTATCAGTGGGAAGGTGAAAGCCTAACCTTGGTGGGCACCTTACTCCAATTTGTAAAACCATCTCCTGTCATGAAGACATGAATTTAGTTTTCTTTGGGCAAAGCCAGTGATGCAATTTTGTGCGCTTATTGGAAAATAACAGCAGGTCAGTAGTATGAATATAAAGTCATGGGTGAAGACAAGGGTATGAGGTGAGGTCAGAGAGAGGTAGGGCTAGGTCAGGCAGGGTCATGTGAACTCTATAAGGAGTTTGGAATTAGTAGGAAATGATGAGATGATATTAAGTAGGGAGATTATATGCTCTTCTAATTCACTTTGACTGCTGTGTGGAGAATGGATTTTAGTAGAGCAAGTGTAAAAGCTGAAGATTAGACAAATTGATGAAATAATCTAGATATACCTGCTTGGGTTCAAACTACAGTTTTATTATTTATTAAATGTATGACCTTTGTAAGTTACTTAACCTACTTCTACATCATTTTCCTCATCTGTGGAATGGGAAACTAATATATAAAACCATACAGGGTTGTTATCATGCTAAATGGGTTAATATATAAAAAGTGGTCTGGGGTTCAGAACATGAATTATTTAAAAAATAAACCAAGACAGTTTAATAGCACAAGTTCTAGTTTTAAGGAGAGGTAGATTTCAAAGCATATTAACATTTCTATTTGTGTTTGTAATTATTTTTTTCCTGTCTATTGCATGTTATCTATTCCTTCCCAGTGTTGGGATAAACATCTGCACTGCTAGAAAACAGGCGTGGAATTGGATTTTTAAAGGGGCAGGAAGACAAGGTAGAAGAATAAAGCTGGTTGGGTGTAAATACGTGTGCTACCCTGCGGGAGTGTGGGACAACTGCGAACAGCGCAGCCTCAGTTTCGGTGTATTGTTACCATGTGGGAATGTGGGCTCTGTGTTGCCAGATCTTTTGATTTTTCAACATACTGAAAATTCTTTTTTATGTGAAATTTTCTAAGTTTTACATTTAATGCACACTCAAGCTAGATTTGGGCTGTTAACTACTAGTTTGCCATTCTGGGTCAAACATTCTACATGTGGCTCTCTTATCTTACCCATTCTTTCCTTAGCTGGAAATCATCTCCTGATTTTAGATTTGCTTTTTTACTTTGTGTCTTAAATAAAAAAATAAACCCATTAAATCTTTACTTGAAACTCACAATAAGCTGAAACTTTTGATTCTGGTTTAATAATTTCTCAATAGACTTTGAATGACTTTTTTTCCCCACATTTAAAAATGCTAATGGTTTTAAGCCCCCAAATTCAAGTTTGTTTCAACCTTTTAATTGTATACCAAGCAAATATATTCTATAGAGTATGAGATAGGAGAGAGGAGGACAAAATTTTTTTCTCTGTGACTCTCAGGCTATTTTATGTACCTTACTTGGACAACATGAGATTTGACATACTGTCTTCTCAGTTTGGATCCATGAAATGTTTCATTTATCTGTTAAAAAGTAAAATGCATAATGATTATGTTTTATTTTTATTTTATTTTTAAGTTTTTATTGTGGATAACTTCAAACATACACAAAAGCAGATAGAATAGTGTAGCAAAACCCACATACCCATCATTCAGCTTTATCAGTTATCAGTAAATGGCCAAACTGGTTTTATTTTACTACTACCCACATCCCACAAATGAACTAATTCTTTAATATCATTAAATACACGGTATTAAAATTTTCCCAGATTATGAATCATTTAGGAAAAAGATGCAATGTGTTAAATATGCAGCTTTTTGAAAATCACCTTATACTGGCTCAGTTCATTCATGTCTTTAAATAAAAAAATTATGTGGCACAATGAGACAAAAATATTTGATCCTAACAGTAGCATGATATGTCAAAATATTCATTTTTAAGAGGTAAATTTAAAAGACCAACTAATAGATTTTATCTTCCATGTTCAGTCTTTTATTGAACATCAATGTCATTAAACTTGACAGAAATGTCCCCAGAAAGAGAAGATGTTTCTATATATTTTTGGTGCTATGGAAGTCTCCTTTCATGCCTGGCCTGTAAAACATCTTGCCTGCTATTTCAGCTATATGCTACTGATGGGTTCAAAGTGGGATATGCAGAAATCTCTCAGAGAAATTTTATGAAAGAATCATTTTCTCAACTTCTCCTGATCTCAACCTAATGGATGATTTCCTACTGTAGGACCTTGACAGAGCACCAGACAACAAATTGTACTGCCAATGACTTTTATTTTGCAAGAACAGGCCCTCAAAAACTGACTCATAATTGGAATTGCAAAGATTTAATATATATTTTTCTTCTTGCTCTGAAGCAATTGGAATATGTTCATGTAGTAAATAAATATCTATTGAAATAAAACTATGAAGTAATTAGATAGATACATTCTTTCTTAGAGATATAAAAGAGGAAACAGATAATAAGCAGACAATGGAATAAATATGTAAATATGATAATGTGAGATAGTATTAAGTGATATAAAAAATGTAAAATAAAATAATGTGATGGAGTCATTCAACAGTATTAAAATGATCAAATCAGGTCTCTTTGAAGAGGTGACATTTGAGTGAGACCTGAAAGATGACAAGTTGACAATCAAAGGGAGAATATTCTAGATGGAGAAAACAGAATGAGATTGGTATAACTGAGAGATAGAAGCAAAGTTGTGACACAAGTAAAATGAGCAAGGGAGAGAGTGTATAAGTTGAGGTTATCCATGTAGCTAGGGACAAGATTATAGAGAGCCTTGTTGGCCATGGTAAGAAGTTTGGATGTAATCCCTAAATATAGTGAATGGAAGAATCTTGACAAGATGATAACTAAACTATGTCATATTTCTCTTCTATTCCCAGTTCAATATATCTGCCTCTCCTGGGGTTGAGTGAGTTTGGGTTTAATGGGAGTCTTGGAAGCAGGGAGGTGATGAACTTTCTTTTCCATGGGTCAGAGAAGGACTGAAAGAGTAACCTGAGAGCCTGTGCAAAGATAGAATCACAACACACCCTAGGAAAAGTTTGGCCAACAGAGGTTTGTGGATCCAAGGGATTATGTTGACACTGGACTATGTGAGTGAGTTTCCATAGCCCCATTGTGGCCAAGAGGAAACTGCAAATGATGCTGAAGACTCCTTGCTCCTGAGACTGAGCTAGTATGGTGGGCAGAAAATGAGGAGCTAGAAGACTTTCTCATGGGGCCTTGGTATGGAGAAGGCATGCTGCCCAACCTTCAGCCTATAGGATTTAACAACATCTCATCTTTCAACTTGTAGAACTACCTCCACCAATATAACAGTGGCCTCAATAAGCCAACAAGGAAAAATGGTAATGCAAATAAAGGAGTCTAGCAGCCAGAGAAAGGAAATAAAACAAATTAGGTGCTCATCAAAACAGAACAGGAGGAAGAGAAAGCAACCTAAACAACAACGGCTAAAAGCACACATAAGAACACTTAGCATAACAAAAGAAAAGACTAAAAATCTAACTTTCAAGTTAAAAACTTTAATAGTCAATTTAAAAAGATGATTATCATTCTTGAGATACAAATTTGTGGTCTAGAAGGCCAAAAAATCAGAATACCTCAAATTAGAAAAAAAAAAAAAAACTGGTGAAAACAAAACAAGTAGAACATGATTCCTGAAGTGGCTATAAATAATAAGTGTATGAAAAGAGAGAGAGAGAGAAAAAAGAGATGGATGACATATAATAATTATAACAAATAATAGGAGAAGATGATTCTGAATTAAATAAAGATCAAAACTAGTTGATTCAAAGGGTAGACTGACTTACAGGCATATTTGATGTACCTGGGGAATATGCTTGAATTTTAGATACAAAGAAAAATTTCTACAAATTTATATGTAGAAAAATATATGTATTGATAGAAAAATAGAATCAGAAATTTGATTTGTAACATTTGAAATTGGAAACTGGTGAAAGAAAATCCTCATACTTTGAGATAAGAAATTTATAACTCAAGCATCTCATTCTCAGTTAAGATATCTCAAATTAGAGGAAAATAGATATTTATAGATATGCAAGAATTTAGTAACATATTATGTGCATAACACAACTGAGAAAAATACAGGACTGAGAATTCTAATAAACTAAGATAAAAATCAGAATTGAGATTTCACTTAGAGGAGAAGATTAAGAAGAGAAGGAACCAATGGTAAGCAACAAAACCTGGGATGTGTGTGTATGTGTTCAATACAATGAACATATAATTTCAATGGTTGAAGTGGAAGAAATATACTTTAAGAAAGATTCTAATAATAGTTTAGAACTTGAAGTACTATCTCAAAAACAAAAAACCAAAAACCTAGTTATTAGGAAGAGGAAAGGACAGCAGAGGAGGGAGAGAAAATAAAAGTGTCAAAAATTCTTATCAGGAGTGGGGAATGGCAAAGGGACGAGAGGATAGAAGTGAAAGTATGTTAAAGGCCTTCTTTTCTTGGGTTGAGGGTTAGGTAAAGAAAATAATGTTTTGATGGGACTAACAGTTTTTTAATATAACGGTGGAAAATATTTATGTAATTTTGAGTTCCAGGAAGGATAAATTAACTGTTGACTAAGTGTATTGAAGTTTTCAAGAGGAAAACAATGTAAACAATGTAATAGAAAGCAATTTAAATCAGCAATAATAAAAAAAGGAAGCAAAAAATATTTACTTAAAGCAAAGTGAGGAAATAAAATCAAATTATTACTTGTTACAATTAATAAAAATAGACAAAAGTTTGTCATGTAAGACTCTATTAAGTTATGTTTAAAAAACAAAATCTAGTTATCTATTATTTAAAAACATCATACTTACAACTAAAAAGATGAAAGACTGTTCAAAATTAAGGTATGGGAAAAAATACTATATAACTAATGTGTAACCCAATATAGAATCCAAAAATATATCCTATAATATATGGGGATTCATGATAATAACAAGGATGGCATTTGAAATCATTGGGATGGACTGGATTATTTAATGAGTAATGCCAGCCCAACTAGCTATCTATACCTAAAATAAAGAACATTTGGGCCTCTAATTTATACTAAAACTATTTCTATGTAGATTAAAATATAAAAGTAAGGGGAAAAAAATTCCCTAGGAAACTGAATACACTTATTTTATGGGTTGTGGAAAACTTTTGAATCAAGACAGAAAATGACTTTCTGAAAGGGCTGACTATCCTAAACTAGAACCAAGGTAGTGAGTGGTAAGAAATAGTGTGAATTTATTAATTATTAAATTACAAGTTGGAAGGTGAGTTCTAAGATTCTGGAATTTCTAGGAGCATAGCATTTAAAAAGACAATGCACAGAAACACATTTTAACTTACCAAGGACACTATCTTTTTATTTAGGTCCAAATATTCTTGTGAATATGGTTTTTCAAACTTGCTGTTATAGTCAATGTCATTGACTTTAAAGCTAATGTGATAGTACAAAGATGTCTTCCCTGAGGAGAGAAAAGAAAAAATAGTTTTGACGGCTCATTGTATAAATACTTTTATTATTTTTTAAATTTACTGTTTTTCATAACTATCCCCTCTATGCCCTCCTCCACCTTCATGCCCCCCCCACCCCCCAGCAATCAACAATCACCACAGTTGTCCATGTCCATGAGTTCTTTCTATCTCTCTCTCTTTTTTCATCCTCACCTGAGGACATTTTTGTTCAGATAGAGTGGGAGGGAGAGAGAGGAGGAGAGAGAGAGAGAGAAACATCGATGTGAAAGGGACACATTAAGTGGCTGCCTCCCACCCGATCCAACCAGGGCCAGGTACAAACTGCAACTGAGGTATTTTCCCTTAGTGGGAACTGAACCTGGGTCTCTCTGGACTGCAGGCCAACACTCTAACTGCTGAGCCAAACCGGCCAGGGCTCTTTTTTTCTTTTTAACTCAATTCCAACCACTGCCCTCCCCCCGAGAGCTATTTGGCTGCTGGTGATGAGTCTGTCTCTATGTTGCTTTGTAGTTTAGTTTGTGCATTAAATTCTACATATGAGTGAAATCATATGGTACTTGTTTTTCTCTGACTGGCTATATCACTTAGCATAGTTCATTGTGTAACTACTTTATTCTTTTTTAAAAAATTACATTTATTGTTGAAAGTATTATAGATGTCCCTCCTTTATTCCCCCATTGACACCCTCCTTCTTGCACTGTTGTCTATGTCCATTGGTTATACATACATGCATATAAGTTCTTTGATTTTTCTCTTCCTGTCCCCTTACCCACCTTCCCTATGAGGTTTGTTGGTCTATTCCCTACTTCCATGTGTTTCTGGATCTATTTTGTTTGTCAGCTTATTTTTTTTCTTATGTTCCACAAATAAGTGAGATCATGTGATACTTGTCTTTCTCTGACTGGCTTATTTCACTTAGCATAATACTCTCCAGGTCCTTTCATATTGTCTCAAAGGGTAAGAGATCTGTCTTTCTTACAGCTACATAGTATTCCACTACTTTTATTCTTTAAAAATTTTTTTCTCTAGTCTTTATTTTATTTTTTATTGTTAAATGTATTACAGATGTCCCTCTTTTTTCCCCTATGGACCCCCTCCTCCCCACTCCCGTCCCCTTCTGCCTTCCCCACACTATTGTCTGAGTCCATTGATTATGCATATATTCATATAAGTTCTTTGGTTTATCTCTTCCTGTCCCCCCAACCCCTCTTCCCTTTGAGGTTTGTCAGTCTAACAACTAATTTGTACTTCTTCATTCATTCACTTTTTTATCCCATTCCCTCAACCCCTCCCCCCTGGCAACCAACAAAAAGTTCTCTGTATCTATGAGTCTGTTTCTGTTCTGCTTGTTCATTTTGTTTGTAGATTCAATTGTTGAAAGATATGTATTTATTGCCGTTTTTTTATTTATTTATTTATTTATTTATTTATTTATTTATTTATTTATTTATTTTTAATCCTTACCTGAGGATATTTTTCCATTTTTTGTACAGATAGAGTAGGAGGGAGAGAGAGAGAGAAACATCGACGTGAAGGGACACATCGAGTGGCTGCCACCCGCACGACCAACCAGGGCCGGGGACAAACTGCAACCGAAGTACGTGCCCTTAGCGGGAACCGAACCCGGGTCTCTCTAGACCGCAGGCCGACGCTCTAACCGCTGAGCCAAACTGGCCAGGGCTTTATTGCCGTTTTATTGTTTATATTTTTGATCTTTTTCTTCAAAAAGACCCTTCAACATTTCATATAATACTGGTTTGGTGATGATGAACTCCTTTAGCTTTTTCTTGTCTGGGAAACTCTGTATGTTCATGGATTCGAAATGACAGCTTTGCAGGATAGAGTAATCTTGGTTGTAGGTTCTTGCTTTTCATCACTCTGAGTATTTCTTGCCACTTCCTTCTGGCCTGCAAAGTTTCTTTTGAAAAATCATCTGACAGTCTTATGGGACTGTCACTAACTGCTTGTTGGTCACTAACTCCTTTTCTCTTGCTGCTTTTAAGATTCTCTCTTTGTTTCGAAACTTTTGCATTTTGATGATGATGTGTCTTGGTGTGGCCTCCTTGAGTTCATCGTGTTTGGGACTCTCTTTGCTTCCTGGACTTGTATGTCTGTTTCCTTCACCAAGTTATGGAAGTTTTCTGTGATTATTTTTTCAAACAGGTTTTCAATTTTTTGCTCTCTCTCTTCTCCTTCTGGCACTCCCATGATGGGAATGTTGGTGTGCTTGAAGTTGTCCTAGAGGCTCCATGTCCTCATGTTTTTGATTCTTTTTTCTTTTTGTTGTTCTGATTGGTTATTTTTTGCTTTCTTATATTCCAAAGTGACGGTTTGCTTCTTGGCTTTACCTGCTCTACAATTGATTTCCTGTAAAGTATTTTTTATTTCAGTTAGTACTGCCTTTATTTCTGACTGGTTCTTTTTTATGCTCTTGAGGACCTCACTAAGTTCTTTGAGCATCCTTAAAATCAGTGTTTTGAACTCTGCATCTGTTAGATTGCTTATCTCCATTTTATTTAGTTCTTTTCCTATAGTTTAGTTCTTTTCTTTAATTTTGAACATGTTTCTATGTCTCCTCATGTTGGTTGCCTCCCTGTGTTTGTTTCTATGTATTAGGTAGAGTTGCTATGTCTTCTAGGATTCCTAGGGTGGCCTCCTATTGTAGTAGGTACTATGTAGGGTCCAATGGCACAGCCTCCCTGATTACCCCAGCTGTGCCCTCGAGGTGCACCCCTTGTGTGGACTGCACATCTTTCTGTTGTATTTGAGTGTTGATGCTGTTGGCACATCAATGGGAGGGATTTACTCAGGCTGATCAGCTTCAAAGTTGGCTCTGCTAACTGCCCACTGACCTCTGACTACCTTGAAAAACAAGCTGTGGAGGGATCCATCACTCAGAGCAAGACTTACTTCAACAGGGCTCTGGTACCCACTGAGTCCACTCCTTGAGTATGACACTTGTGGAGGTGGTTGGGTGGTGGTGCTTTGCCATGGTTTCAAGCTGTCCACTGGGTGTGTTGTCTCTGGGGAAAGGTCAGCCACTGCCTGTGTTCTGCCCGTGGCCACCAGGCATAAGCAACAAAGTGATCTGCATTTGGCTGCTTCTTGTTCTGGGCTTGGAGGTGCCCAGGAAAAGCCAAGCTGTGAACCAAGGCTGGCTGCTCCTAGTGCTGGGCCTGGGGCCACTTAGTGAGAGATATGGGGCTTGCTGAGGCCAGGTGCTGCTTTTTTGAGAGAATTTAGGAATCTGAAACAGGAGCCAACACAGGCAATTCCTATGGTAAAGCCACTGAAAATAGCTTGGATGGCCCTGAAAGTTGGGTGGGGAAGACCTGCAGTGAATCACCAGGGTGGGGCAAACATTATGAGCCAGGTTGCTGGAGTCCCAGGTATGGCACCTGTCTGCCAGCCCTGTGGGAGAAAGCTTCACCAAAGAAACAATGGCCTCAGTCAGCAGTCTGTCCAGGAGAAAGCGGCCCTACTGCTCACCCCATTACCAAACAACTTAGTTTTTCTTTGTATGTCTCTGGCGCCTTTTAAGCAGCCTCCTCCATGCTGGAGCCTGGAGAGAGTGAGTTAGAGTAAGTCCATGGGCGGGCCTTTAAGAGGAACTGCCTGGGGCTTTGTCAGTCTCAGTTCCAGCTGGTTTTCAAAGCTAGAAGTTATGGGGACTTCTCTTCCTGGCACTGGACCCTGAGCTGGAGTGACTGGTGTGGGACAGGGACACCTCACTCCTCAGGGAGGACCTTCACAGCTGAGGTGTCCATCCTGATTTTTATCTGCCATGTGTGGGTGTGGGACCAGCCAGTCCTTGTCTCAACCCCTCCTACCAGTCTCGATGTGGCTTTTTCTTTAATCTCGTAGTTGTAGGACTTCCATTCAGCTCGATTACAGGCAGTTCTGAATGATGTTTGTTCTGTAGTTTAATTGTAATTTTCAAAAAAATTTTTAATTAATTTATTTTTGTTGCAGATGTCTCTCCTTTTTTCCCGATTGACACCCTCCTCCCCATCCCCCCACCCTGTCCCCAGCTTTGTTGTCCATGTCCATCGATTATGTGTATATGCATATAAGTTCTGTGGTTTATTTCTCCCCCACCTCTTCTGAGGGTTGTCAGTCTGTACCCTACTTCCATGTCTCTGGGTCTACCCTGTTCCTCAGACTGTTATGTTCATTATATTCCATGAATGAGTGAGATCATGTGATATTTGTCTTTCTCTGCTTGGCTTGTTGTGCTTAGGATAATGCCCTCCAGGTCCCTCCATGTCGTCCCAAAGGATAAAAGATCTTTCTTTCTTACAGCTGCATAGTACTCCATTGTGTATATGTACCACTGCTTTTTTATCCATTCATCTACTGATGGACACTTGGTCTGTCTCCAGATCTTAGCTATTGTAAATAGTGCTGCTACGAACATGGGTTACATATATTTTTTCTGATTGGTGTTTCAGGCTTCTTAGGGAATATTCCTAGAAGTGGGATCACTGGGTCAAATGGCAATTCAATTTTTAACATTTTGAGGTAACACCATATTGTTTTCCATAGTGGCTCACCAGTCTGCGTTCCCACCAGCAGTGTACTATAGTCCCCTTTTTTCCACACCCTCGCCAATGCTTGTTGTTTGATGATTTGTTGATGGCATCTATTCTGACAGATGTGAGGTGATACCTCATTGTTGTTTTCATTTGCATCTCTCTGATGATTAGTGATATTGAGCATTTCTTCATATGCCTCTTGGCCATTTGTATGTCCTGTTTGGAGAGGTGTCTATTTAGCTCCTCGGTGCATTTTTTAATTGGGTTCTTTGTCTTCCTTTTGTTGAGTTGTATGAGCATTCTATATATTTTGGAAATTAACCCCTTATCTGATGTATCATTAGCAATGATGCTCTCCCATACAGTGGGTTCTCTTTCTATTTTGATGGTTGTTTCTTTTGTTCTGCAGAAGTTTTTAGTTTGATTAGTCCCATGTGTTCATTTTTTCCTTTGTT